ATTTTAATTTGATCAAACTAACATAATTGAGGAATTCATGTTCCTTATGCTGTACTGTATACAGTATTGATAATGTTTAAAAACCAATCTGGAAAGAAATATTTGAAAGTAACAAAAATTGCTCTGCCTATTAGGCTAATTCGGCCTTGCTTACTAGGTCAAGTAGTGTGGTTCTGGCATTAGGTATGACATACATGTATACATACATATGTGTGTGTGTAATTACTGGATGAGAGCTATGCTCTCCTGCAACTGTTGTGTCCTGTCTTCCCAGTACTCTATCATATGATGCTTTGAAACTACTGACAGTTTTGGCCTCCAAACTTTCTCATGTAGCTTGTTCCATCCGTTTACCACTGTTTATAACAGTGAACTTTCCGATGTTTTTTTGGCAGCTTTGCTTCCTTAGTTTGATCCTATGTCCTCTTGCTCTTTAAGTTGCAGTTTTCAAAAGTCAATTTTGTTGAGTCCTTTTACTATTTTGTACATATTTATCATATCACCTTTTTTTTTTCTTTTATCTTCTAGCTTTGGTATATTTAATGCCTCTAACTTTTCTGCATAGAACACTCAGTTACAGGAGCCATTTAATTACATGTCTTTGCACCCTTTGCGGTTTATTAATGTTCTTAAGATAAGGGCACTATACAGCCATTGCATATTCCAACCTTGGTCTCACAAAGGTTGTAAGCAGTTTCTTTAACATTTCATCACCCATGTACTTAAAGGCAATTCTAAAGTTGGAAAGTGTAGTACATGCGCCTCGCACAATGTTCTTTGTGAGGGGTCCTGCTAGTACAGCCAGGTTCATTCACAATGCACAATCTAGAATTCCGGGTTTGAATCCCGGGCGAGGCAGAAATGGTTGCACACACATTTCCTTTATTTAGCAGTAAGTAGGTAGCCAGGAGTTAAGCAGCTTGTGGGGTTGCATCCTGGGCAGAATCAGTAATTCGGCTTGGGGAGGGACTTCGATAAAGGTCCTAACATGTATTGACACACCCTTGGTCTTCCTGTCCCCCGACACAATGAATTTTTTATTATTATTTATGTGGTCTTCAGGTGAAAGTTTTATATCCAGAACCACTCCTAGATTTCTTATCAGAATTTTTTAAAGCTTTTCACATAATTTGGAGGATGTGTGTTGTATTTTCTCCTATTCCACATTCTATAACATGGCATTTTCCATGAAAACCTAAAACAATCAGATTAATTAAATACAAATCTATGGAAAGAATTACAAAGTACTATGTATAATTTTAACATTGTTAAAGATTTGTGATGCTGTACTTTTGGAAGAAAAATGCAAATCTCACAACACCAACTTTTAAGTTTTCTGTTTCAGTTTAAGTTTTTATCATTTTTATCGTAAACATCTTTTAGAGATGGAGCCTAGATACTGATGCTATTCCTGATAAAGAGGAGATAGCTTTAACTTCCCAATTCATAAATTTTATAGAAAGATAGGCAGTACTTTCACTAATCACACTGAATCACAATGTCTACATAACCCAGGGCAACATGGGTTCAGGACAGGGTATTCCTGCATCTCAATTCCAAGACCATTATGACAGCTTTAGATACCATGGAAGACAAAACAAGTATATAATACACAAGGATTTCACAAAGCTTTCGACAAATGTGACATGGTGTTATTGTACATAAAGTATACACAAAAAGAATTACTACTACAAGTATCTCTGGGAGTTTGTAACATCTGCTGATGTAGATTTGACTAAATGTAAACTCTGTCAACAGAACTTTTCACATACTTTGCATCATTATATAATGGAATGTAAAAAAAATTGTGGAATTCATAGATAACACAATCAATGGAGTCCAAGAAATGTGTAAGTACTTCATTCATAATGATGTGCTGTCAGGAATCTTAGCGAAGTATCCAAAATTTGCTTACTGTACGTGCAGCCTGCACATGAATGTAAAGCTGCCGCCCAGTTGGGTGGGTGCGGAGCAAGACTAGTAACTGTGTGACTCACCATAGATGTAAAGTGCCTTGTATAGCGACTTGTGAGCCTCTTGTTGAATCACTTGTGATATAAATAGATTATCGATGTGTATATATATTTGTGTAAATAATTGTATATATATAGCATTAATAATTGTGTAACTAGCTTCAAAAGATTGTCATTTGCTTAGCTAAATGAACTATGGGGTTCAGTTCTGGAACTGATTATGTGCCTTTGTAACCCTTTCCACTACCACCCATGGGATGGGTAAGAGGTGCATAATAAAGTTGAAATTGGCAAAGTAGGGAAATGGATCTTTAACTTTCTAAAAAACAGAACCCAGAGCATAATAGTCAACAAAGTAAAATTTGAATCATCAGCCGTGAAAAGCCAAGCCCTGAAGGTACCGTGCTTGCTCCAGTACTTTTTCCTCATCCCCACATAAGATAGAGAAGGATACAAACTATAGTACTGTAAAACTAATATATATAATAGTATAATATAATTAATATATTACTAATATATAGTAATAT